TTCCAGTCACTTCTGGATTATACCGTCTGCACAGGGTCCTAAACTGCATTGTAACACTTTCACTGTTGGACGCAAGCACTTAGGACTATAAAGTTCTATTTGGTTGGCTTTGCACATGCACTCATACATTTGTCATGTTAAAGAATGTTTTTCTGACCATATTACATTTCTCCATAGCTCAGTAGTTCATTCCCTGTGCACCCTTTTCACCATCAGACTCACAAATGTGCGTAGGTAGGTGTGATAAACAGTTTGTGCACTGCAATCACAATATGCTATTCCTCTCTGTGGAGTTCTTAGCAGACAGTTTTTGATTAAACGTGATGCTTGTGCCCGAGGTTGAAATTTGCAGTCAATTTATCTGCAGTTGTCTTGCACTGTGAATTAATATCGGGATAAATACTAGAGTATGTTCTTCTACCCACTGTTGCCCTTTGCTAATAATGTCTCTTCCTTAGAGTTCCATGCTGACATCACTTTATTAACCATTGCTCATGAAACATCAGCAAGTTGAGCTTTTTAAAGCCCAGTGAAGTGCCTTCCAAACTCGTGCCAACAATCACCCCTCTCTCAGTCACTGAGGTCTCCTCTTGCAGCCATAGTAATTATAGGTAACTAGACCTGTCCAGCATCTTTTATACATGGCCCTTAGCATGCTTTGATGTTATTTGCTTGATTTTTGCATGAGCCATTGTTTGGAAGCATTTGCTTTCAATACACTTGGTGTCCTTCATTTAGCAAGGAGTTTCCAATTCTTGTCCATTTCCTGTATATAAGAAGTATTTCATAACAAGCAATTCTAAATCAGGTATAACGAAGTGGGTAATGAAGAAAATGTAGCATTTTATGCAGAAGAAACTTCATTGGCCTTCTAATTGGTTCCTCCAGTAATGACACTCGATCGTGGATAGGTTAAGCTATGAGTCCAGGTCATGCCACTAGCTGACTGTGACTGGGATTTTTCAAGTGTTGCAGGTATATAATTGACTGAGTGCTGCTGAATGCAGGGTGGGATTAGTCATGCAGTTCGCTCATTCAAAGTGACAATTCTGGCCTCTCGAGTGCCTGTAGCTTGTGGTCAGGTCTGTATGGCCTCTCCTCCCATTGGCACTGAGCCTTTAGGACTAAGGGGTGTTGTCTGTGATGTGTTAACCGATAAATGGCTCATAGAGGAGTCTGCCTACTGTATACTTCATCATTCTTTCCTGTTTTGGGGTGCATTGTTTGTAGTGTAAAAACACATAATTGGCAATTCCAGCATCCTTGTTTTTGCATGAGGGGTTAAACAAAAATATATGTCGACAGTAAATGTGTAACAAAATATTTTAAAAGACTTCAGCAACACAAAAATGTAAATACACTCACAGTGTTTCCTCAACTTAAGTCATTGTTTAAAATAATGAAAATCATCAATACAAAGCCCCTTTTAAACAACACATTTTCATTGTGGTCTGAAAACTGTATGTACAGCAGTATGTCATGGTCCATACTATTTGTCCAGATTGAGCCAGAAGAAGACACATTTTATCATATTCCCTGAAACTAAACTTTAATTTCACGCATTTAGTTT